AAGATATGATCATCGCATATATCATGAAGATTTTCCAGCTTTAGCTTGTGATGGATGAGTAGATACTTTAACCATATACTTGGTATCATTCCAGTTTTCTTGGAAACAGATTGGTAATAGTTAGATTCTGGCAACAGTTAAATCAGTTGGAGTAAGATGTTCTATGGGCCTGGCACCATGGCTCACTTGGCTAATCCAAGTTTGTAGAATTTATTTGAAAGAGTTTTGGAGAATGAGGGAGAGACAAAGAAGGAGAGATCTACTATCTTTTAGTTGACTCCTGTCTGCAATGGCCAGAGCTGGACCAGACTGAAGGAATGAGCATCATCTGACTCATTCAGATGTGAGTACAGAACTCAAACCCTTGGGCCATCCTCACTGCTTTTCCCAGGCCATTAGCACAGCTGGATCAGAAGTGGAGCAGCTGAGATAGATCCTGAGAAATATGATGTGTGCATATACGGCAATGCATGTGACAACGATTTTAATTGTAATGTCCAAAGAATTGTCTGGAATTACACTAATAGATTCTATACCTTTCACATCGACCTCTTTAAAAACAATGTTCTGGCTTTATATGTGATAATGATATCTTCTTGATGATATATTATTTAGTATGATATATTATTTAGTATTATTAGTTGGGTTGATGGTGTTTGTGCATTATCTGAAGAATATATTCTTGAATGCATTGCTTTCCATCCATTTTCTCTATTACCACAGGCCTGTATCTATCTTTAAAAGAAACACAGAAATTTATTTTCCATGTGGAAGTCACATTCCCGCCTTTAAGGTGCAAGTAGTAGGCACAGGGCAAATAAATCCAGTTTTGATGCATTTATAAAGGAAAACCACCACAATCCTACTGCTGAGGCAGCTCCCACCACAGTCTTCTGTCAGATGTGTCCTGCTCAGAATCATGTCTGTGTCAGGGACCCTTAGCGGTGTGGTGGAGTCATCTGATTGAAATGGGACAAATGTGCTGTTGGAGTGCGACATTCCTGCAGTTTTGACCTCTACCTAAGTCAGGCCTGTTCCTGCCTTTCTAACTTTCTATCGGGGTCAGCGCTGTCTGCTGCCCCCAGAGGGCACCCATGGTGCTGGGTTGGAACCCGGCCCAGAGACTGCCTGAATGCACCTGAAGTTGCCCCCCAGGGGCTCTTTGAAATTTAGCCTGTCAGGTTGTCCCCTCCCTGCCACTCTGGGAATTTGCAGAGACCCACACACCAGCCATCTCTAGCCCCTGCTTTGAGTCTTAAGTGGATGCCGGAAGCCAAGGGAGGCACCTAAGGCTTTTCATGAGAGAAGAGAGGTGAGAACTGCATCCTACACAGGTGCCCTTCATGGCCCAATGTGGCCTCTTCTGGTCCCTATGCTGGGTCACTGAGACCTTGGTAAGAGTCGCGCTGTCCCAGCCTTAGGGAGGGCGCTGCATTCCCCTCATAGCTGTCTCTCAGTGCCTCATCAAGGGGAATGCAAGAATCCCTGCCGCGTTCTGTGGTGAGATGTGGACCTTCCAGGGATGTTCCTGGGCCCAGTGAGGCCTGCCAGCACCTCGCTGTGGAGAAGCCCAGTTTTCCTAGAATGTAAAATAATCTTTCTTCTTTCTTTTGTCTCCTCTGACTTGGAAAAGTACCTCACATCTCTACCCTCCATTAGGGAATACAGCCTCGTTGTTTCACACCGCACCCCAACGTTAGATGAGAGTTAACTTTACCCTTGTTATTCTGCCAAGCCAGTTTGCCTGGGTATAATCTGGCAATTTGAATCTTGCTCATACTGAGTCTCATCATACAACTTGAACCTTGTTGGTATTAGATTTAGAAATGCGGCTTTACCGCCATTTGTATTTTATGTTTTCTGGGGGCCATGTGAGCACAGATGGTTTGGACAGAGGCTGTGTCTGTGTTTGCTTTGGTTTCACTGATGCTCTGACTTCTGCTTAAACAAGGCTTTCCAATTTGATACTGCATTAGAATAGTCAGTATGGCTTCTGAATACCCTGGGACTGCTGGGCACATGCTCTGATTTCAGCCTCAGTTGGTATGTGTGGGGGTCAAGGATCAGCACCTCCTTGTAGTGGTGACAGGTGTCTCTGCCTAACCCTGCTGCTTCCTCTTTCTGCATTTCTCAGGTGGTGCAGGTCTTGTGGCACTGTGTGAAGTTTCTTCCCCTTATTCTTTCTCCTTTTTAAGTCAATACAAGCTGATTGCATTTAAAATTCCATTTCCTTCACACTCAAAAATGTAGATTCCAAGACAGAAACCAAAAGGGAGATGTCCTGAGTTGGAACTGTGACCTAGGTCCTTGAAGGATTTTCCCCACTAAGGAATATCCTCAGCTGGTTAATTTGATTGAATTCCTGACATTTTAGGGAGAGAAAACCCAAGAGCAATGTAGTAACATTTCAAGCACTAGAACATTATGGAGGGGAAACCATTGGGCAGAAGCCAGTAGCCTCCCTGAAAGAAATGATTCCCTTAGGTAAATGAATATGGTAATACAAATGAACAGAGTTATGGAAAAGAAAATGAAGTTCCTCAACTGGGTCCAACCTGACACGGTGGGGAGTAGAGCTCATGAAGTTCTTGTTGTAGGAGACAATCCTAGATAAAGAGTACAAGTTCTCCACGGGTTTAAATCATACACTGGTGCTCACAGCCCATCTGTCCAAACACATGAGAATCATGATATAGTTGATGACTGTTCAAAAAAAAAGCAATATTAAAGTGAAAACAATTTATTTTGACTTATAGCTCTCAATAATTAGAACTGACAATTTCAAAATTTAAAATAACTAATAACCAACTGCTTTTAGAGTCAAAGTTGGAATTATAAAGTTGATCCTGTTACAAGTTCCACTTGAATTCCAACAGATTTGGAGACCTTTAGAGAAAGGAAGAAGAAGAAAAGTAGGAAGATATGTTGTGGAATAAAGAGGAATCAGGGGAAATGTAGAAGAATGAGCAAGTAATAATTGAGTCACACATATGTGTATTCATTCTGTGAAGAATGTATTCTATTCTGCCTTGGCTTGTTTCCTTATTTTGTTTTAAACTAGGACTGCTCATACTTTAATTAGAAATGCATAGGCATTTATTTTCCATGTGGAAGCATCATTTATCCCTTTATTGCACAATGTGTAGACATGAGAAATTAAATCAATAATTAGAAATAAAAAATATATAGCCATGCACAATCATTCCTCAGAGGCAATAATTATTTAACTGTTATTTCAGAGTATGCTCTACACAAATATCTCTGTCTTGGGTCTTCTGGAGTCAGTTGGAACCCCTTACATTGAAACTAGACAAACATTGGAGCTGCAGAACCACATTCACTTTGTCTTTGCCTTCCAACAATAGTGGGGGTTAGGGAGTCTGTTCTTGCTCTTCTGCACAAGTCTGGGTTCCTTTAGGGGATCAGGGCCACCCTCAGACCCTAAGAGTGCACACATATATGACAATGGATTGGAATTTTTCCCCAGGTCTGTGCTAAATACCATGTAGGGAGACCTTATGGCCTCTTTTTTATTAGATTATATTTATTTACTTATTTGAGAGGTGGAAAGAGAGAGAGAGGGAGAGAGAGAGAGAGAGAGAGAGAGAGAGATCTTACATCCACAGTTTCACTCTCTAAATGGACAATAAGACCAGAGCTAGGCTGATCTGAAGCCAGGAGCCAGGAGTCAGTGCAGGTGTACACCTTCCGGATAGGTTAACGCCGGCGACACCTCGGAGACACCAGACCCGCTTATCGGCTTTTCAGCTTCCACTTTATTTTTCAGCAGACTCGCGTTACATGTCGCGAAAGCCCGCCGTCTTCGCCTCCTCCAACCCTCTTATATATCCCGCCCACTGTCCACCTGTTTATATATGATTCATGGAAAACATGTTACCAACTCAGCAAGAATAAGTGTGGGAAACATGCAATAACAGGATGCTTAAAGTCAAAACAGGATCTTGCAATTAGCTACGGGCAGGGTGGAAAAAGCCCAGCACTAAACTTCTTGTGCTTGTACATGTCGGGAGGGGCACAGCTGGCCAGGCTGTCCCGTTCCCCGACAGAAAGCACTGAGGGCTCCAATGCAAGGTGAAGGTCCTGCCTCTGTGTTGCCTGAAAAGCCTCACTGAACCAGTGGTGCACAGGATCCTGAATCAGCAGAAATCTCAAGCTAGGGGCTAGTAGCCGTCTGGGCAAGGGCCTCCTCAAGCTCGCGGTGATGGTGGGGAGGTGGCAACCCCAGAGCTGCCCGAAAACCTGCTCTGGGAGAGGTACTGTGGTGCGGGAGCTTAAGAATGCACCTGTGGTGCAACATCCTAGATGAGTGCTGATTTATGTCCAGCTTCTCCACTTCCAATTCAGCTCCCTGCTATTTCACATGGGAAAACAATGCGGGATGGCCAATGTTTGGGACCCTACAACCAAGTGTGAGACAGAAGAAGCTCCTGACTTGTCGGGGAACGGGACAGCCTGGCCAGCTGTGCCCCTCCCAACATGTACAAGCACAAGAAGTTTAGTGCTGGGCTTTTTCCACCCTGCCCGTAGCTAATTGCAAGATCCTGTTTTGACTTTAAGCATCCTGTTATTGCATGTTTCCCACACTTATTCTTGCTGAGTTGGTAACATGTTTTCCATGAATCATATATAAACAGGTGGACAGTGGGCGGGATATATAAGAGGGTTGGAGGAGGCGAAGACGGCGGGCTTTCGCGACATGTAACGCGAGTCTGCTGAAAAATAAAGTGGAAGCTGAAAAGCCGATAAGCGCGTCTGGTGTCTCCGAGGTGTCGCCGGCATTAACCTATCCGGAAGGTGTACACCTGAAACTGGTGTCGTGACTCGGATCGCTGCGACGCGGAAAGAAGGTAAGAAAAAAAAAAATGTCTATAGACGGGAGTCTAGGGGAAAAAGCCTAGGAATACCGTGGTACAATGGGGAACACACAGTCCACCACGAAAATGCACCTATTGATTAGCCGCCTTTTAAAGGCAACGGGGATGCCCGTAAAGAGTTTAGCTGTGTGCAATTTTACGAGGATACTATATAAAACTTGTCCTTGGTTTGTTGAAGAAGGAGATTTATCACAGGTTCGGTGGAGACCGGTGGGACGTGAATTGCAAAACGCTGGAGTCAAGGAGGGAGTGATCCGCTTGTGGTATCTGATAGATACTGCTTTACGGTCAGACGATGACCAGATCGGGGAACTCTTAGATGAAGGCTCTGAACTACTGGAGGAGCTCAGCGAAGACTCCCATGATAGTAGCGAAAAAGGAGATAATATAGAGGAACAAAGGATGGAAGCAATTGGAGGAGCCCGACCAAAAGCAAAACATCCACAGATGCTGGGATCGCTTCCACTATACCCAGAGTTGCCCTTAATGCCCTCCGCTCCTCCGTATGAACCACCCCATCATCCTATGTGCTGTTGCTGTTTTGCCGGCAATGCTTCCAGCGAGATGAGGCCCATAGTTTTAGAGTCTGGGCCGGAGAAACAGACTAGAAGGCAAATACTTGAAAACGAAAGTGCTCGTAATGACAATGAAGCCGCTTTTTTTATAAATACTGGGGATTCAACTCCCCACCCACCACGGTGCCTGAAACCAAATTGGGCAGAGTTCTTTAACCCCCATCAGATCTTTCCAGTGACCGAAGACCGCCAAGGAAATCGCGGGTGGACTCTGGTCGATTTCACAGCATTAAAAGAGTTGCAAAAGGCAGTGACTCTCTACGGGCCACATGGTAACTTCACCAAAGCTATCCTAGGAACCTTAGGCACTCAGGGCCTAGTCCCTGAAGATTGGAGAAATGTCTGCAAGGCAGTCCTTTCAGGGGGAGATTATCTCTTATGGTCAGCCGCTTATAGGGAACTAGCTTGTACTCAGGCGGCACAAAACCGAGCTGATGGGCAACCTGCCTGGAATGAGGATATGTTAAATGGAGAGGGAGCATTCCATGCAGAAGCGGTGCAAGCTCGGTGTCCCTGGGAGGTATTACAACAAATAAGAGATATAGCCTTGAGGGCCTGGAAGGTAGTGCCAAAAAAAGGGGAAGTTAAACACAGTCTGACTAAGATAATACAAGGACCAACAGAGCCTTATGCAGATTTTATTAACCACCTTTATGAAGCTGCAGGCAATCTGTTTGAGTCTCCTGAAGAGGCCGCACCCTTGCTGAGACGACTGGCATATGAAAATGCTAATAAGACATGTCGCTCCGTGCTAAGGCCTTGGCAACATAAGTACATCCCTACCTTTTTGAAAATTTGCAGAGATGTCATGGATGATGTTGCCTCTGGGGCTCATGCTGCTATGGCAATGGCTAAGGCCAATAGAGTGAGTGACCACAAATGTTTCGCTTGCGGCCAACCCAGGCATGTAAAAAAGGAATGTAGACAACATAAACCCAACAAACGACAGCCAGGATTATGCCCTAAATGTGGGAAAGGTAATCATTGGGCCAGTGATTGTTATTCTAAGACTGATAGAGCAGGAAACCCCATTCCCCAAGAGTCAAAAAACGGGAGAGGGGCCCCAGCACACCGGGGCCCGAAGCAAAATTGGGTGCGCCAGCAATCAAAAAAGGGGGATCAGGAACAGTAAGCTGTTTCGAATTGTGGCCAACGGAGTCTCAAATATTAACTCCAGCTATGGGTCCTCAAATCATTGATGTAGTCCCTACTAAAAATTCTCTTCCCAATACTGGCTTCAGACTAGTGATTGGACAAGCCACCAATTTTCAGCGCGGACTCCAAATTCAGCCAGCAATAGTAACTTTCCCCACATGCAAACCTAAAGTTATCGTTCAAGCCACCTTAGGTGCAGCTATCGTAGATAATGACAGACCCCTAGCACAACTACTATGCTGGGAAAAAATTAGAGATCAGAGAGCTAAACAAGGAAGTAATTTTGCAGCACTCTCCTTATCATTGGAAAACAGACCACTTTGGCCTCTTGTCATTCAGGGAAAAACAATACAAGGCTTGTTAGATACTGGGGCTGATGTAAGTATTATAGCCGCAGATGACTGGCCTCCCTCCTGGCCAACACAAGAGTCAGAGAATACACTGGTAGGGTTGGGTACTACCAATGCTCCACCTAGGAGTGCCAGCATCCTCACTTGGACCGACAATGAAGGCCATTCTGGACAGTTCCAACCATATATCTGTAAGCTGCCAGTTACCCTGTGGGGATGAGACACCCTACAGGAACTAAGACTTACCTTGACTAATGAAAAGGGAAAACAACAAGGATCACAGGCTGCATGGAACATCATGACGCAAATGGGATATAAAGGTGGAGGCCTGGGAGCTAGGGAACAGGGTATTACAACGCCCATTAATCCAAAAGGAGAAAAGGACAGGCATGGACTGGGTTTCCAGGAGGGGCCACCGCACTGCAGCCAATCCCTATAACTTGGCTCTCCTCTAAGCCAGTGTGGATTTTGCAGTGGCCCCTTACAGAAGAAAAATTGGCTGCTGTGAAAACCTTAGTAGAGGAACAATTAGGGGCAGGACATCTTCAGCCATCTACTTCTCCTTGGAATACTCCTATCTTTGTGATTAAAAAGAAATCAGGTAAATATTGCCTACTTCATGATTTAAGAGCTATAAATAAACAAATGCAACCTATGGGGGCCACTCAACCCAGCCTCCCCGTTTTAACCATGCTACCTAGAGAATGGAAACTAATAGTAGTTGATATAAAGGATTGTTTTTTCTCTATCCCCCTAGCCAAGGAAGATAGACAACGTTTTGCCTTTACAATTCCCTCTATAAATCATATAGGACCCAATGCTCATTTTGAATGGACGGTATTGCCACAAGGAATGACTAATAGTCCCACATTATGTCAAATATATGTTGCTAAGGCTATTGCACCTGTAAGAAAATTATTTCCACAAATGACAATAGTACACTACATGGATGATATTCTATTGGCTGCTCTTAACCAGGAAGAATTAGATAAAGCCTTCTTTGCATTAGAGCAATCCCTAAACAATTATAATCTTATCTTATCTCCTGAAAAGATTCAACGAGTTCCTGCAGTACAATATTTAGGACTACGGATTACCCCTACCACAGTAAAGCCTCTTGATTTTAATATCTCCACTCATCATGTTAAAACCTTAAATGACTTACAAAAATTGTGTGGAAATTTAAACTGGATTCGGCCTTATTGTAAAATGACTACTGAAGAAATGCACCCTTTGTTCCGACTTCTGGAAGGTGATGCATGCCTAAATTCACCCAGACAACTTACAAAGGAGGCAAAAGCAGTATTAAAAAATTTTGAACAGCACCTTAAGAGCACCGCTATGCAGCAGTGTGACCCCACTATGCCCCTAAGTATTTTGGTGTTCATACAAAGTCATTATCCCTATGCTTTACTCTGGCAAGAAGGACCATTGTTGTTTATATACCCACATAACCATATGCCCAGATCTATTACCTCCTATGCGGAGGCTATGGGAAATTTAGTTTTACAAGCCATCCACCGAGTCAGTAGAAATTGCAGGGAGAAGACCACAGTCCTGCATTCTTCCGTTAGAGTCTGTAGTCATTCAGGAGTGGGCTAAGGAAACTTGGCAATGGTCTCACATCACCATCACCCTTGACATAAGTGTAGATAACCATTATCCCAATCATCCCTTTATTAGATTTTGCGACACGGTACCCTTACACTATTTTAAAAGAGTTTATTCTAATCTCCATTCCCAAAGCACCCATAGCTTTTACTGATGGAGCAAAAGGAGGTACCGGGGTGGCTATTTTACAAGGTCAGGTGCATCATGCAGTTACTGCATCTCCCTCACCTCAACATGCAGAGCTAGCTGTAGTGGCTAAGTTATTAAATATGGTTGAGGGTCCTCTTAATATCGTTTCTGATAGCTTATATGTTGTTAATGCTGTTAAGAGGCTAGGCTCCCCTTCGTTAATATCCAAAAGTTCTACAGTGTTTCCTTATTTTGAGCTTGTTCAGCACGCTTTATTTAGGAGATCAGATCCCATTTTTATCACCCATATTAGAGCACATACCTCCCTGCCAGGTCCTCTCACCACGGGAAACGCCCTTGCCGATCAACATTCCCGCTTCCTTTTAGCTTGCACTGCCATGGAACAGGCAACAGAATATCATCAAACTTTGGCATGTTAATAGTAAGACCTTAAGTATGAGGTTTAATATCCCTATTCGTAAAGCTAAATCTATTGTCCAAAATTGCGAAAAATGTGTTATTCATCAGCCTGTTACTATGCCCACTGGAGCTAATCCCTGGGGCCTTTATCCATGTCACATTTGGCAAATGGATGTAATGCATATCCCTGCCTTTGGCAAGCTATCCTGTGTCTGTGTTACGGTGGATACTTACTCAGGAGTAGTTATGGCTACCACCGCCGCCAAAGAGTCCACCTCCCATGTAATGCAACATATGTTACAATGTTTTGCTTCTTGGGGAATTCCTAATATAATAAAAACTGATAATGGACCTGCTTATACTTCTAAGGCTTTTGCTGAGTTTTTAGCAACTTTTCATATCTCTCATTTAACCGGCATCCCATATAACCCTACTGGACAAGCTGTTGTGGAACGCACTAATCTGTATCTGAAAAACTTTGTATTAAAACAAAAAGGGGGAATAGGGGCACTATCCGTTCCCCTAAAGACATTCTCAACCTCGCCTTACTTACCATAAATTTTTTAAATAAAAAAGCTGATGGTCTCACCCCGGCAGAACGTCATGTAATCTTGGAACAGACCCCCAATAGTAATAAACCCCATGAACCGACAGAAGCTCAGCCACACGTTAGAAAAATGATTATGTGGAAAGACCCACAAGATAACAAATGGAAAGGCCCATACCCATTAATAAGAAGGGTACGAGGCGCTGTTTGTTTTCTCCCACAGGAAGAAAAAAATCCAATCTGGATTCCAGAAAGACGGACAAGAACAATAGAGTGGCAAGATGATCGTGATCCTACTCCTACTAATAATGATACCACTGTCACCGACAATGGCCAAACTGGATGAGTATTGGGGTCTCTTGAGAGCCCTACCTCTCCCTCTCCCTGTTTCTAACTCTTCTAACCTTCTGCCAGTTGTGTATTTGCATAACTCTACCATAGGTGAAAGATTCGGAGTGCCTTACAACAGTCTTGTCAATTCTTCCCATCAGGGCCAGGTTAACTTATCCATCCACCTTTCGGGAGTGCTATGCTTCCATAAGCCTAAGTTTGGTGCAGATCTTTGTGGTTATAATTATACCGGCTTTCCTACACCATGTATTAATTTGGCCACTTATTCCATGGGAGATGTTATCAACTGGAATGAGTCAGGTAGTTCTTACACAGCCAATATTACAGGAAACTTATAGCCTTTCGATCTGAGTCGCTACCTCTCAGGTGCCAGGAGTGTCACAGACCATTTGCTACTTACCCTCCTACCAATCCACTTCCTTCTTGCACTCCCCAGGCACCCCCAATTCTCCAGCTGTCTTGATTTGCCTTTTCGTCACCCAACGATCATCCCCTGTTTTTCTTCAGCCTCCCTTCTTTTGGTATCGCTGTAATGCTACTAATAATACTTGCACTACAGGAGTTATTTCCTCATGTGTTAAAGGAAAATTAAGTGAAGCGGAAACACTGGTGGTTGTGCGGATTCCTATTTGGGTTCCTGTACCAGTTGTGGTGTCTGAGAAGGACTTCTCTATGGCTGTTCGACACAGGAGAGACTTTGGAGTCACCATGGTCGTCGTTGCAGTAATTGCGGCATTATCAGCTGGTTAGGCCGCTATTGGCTTGGCCATGAGCCAAACCTCCACACTGTCCACACTTGATAGCATCACAAGATCTACCACCCAGGCACTTGATGATATACTGCTATTCAGCTGTTAATGAACAGATTTATTGTAAGATTAGGCCTGGTTGGCATACCCTGTGTTATTCGATCTACTGCAGTTTGTGTTACCACCTACCCTACAACCACTTTTCATTTGCCGCTAATCAGTCCCGTCTTTTGGGTAGCATGTTAAATGGTAGTTGGAATCCAATTAAACAATGGGCCGCTATTATAGGGTTGGCTCTTATTGTGCTTACAACAGGATCAATTATTGTTCAGATCTTGCAAGGGCTGTTAATACGCAAATGGTGGTTAAACAAGCCAGCTAGCATTCAATAACCAGTACCCCATGCAAAATGGACAGATTCAGGTGTGGCTGAATCTGCTGGAATGGTAGTCAAAGACGGGTAAGTTCTGAGAGGTCTTCAAGGCAACCTAAGACAGGGCATGAACAGCTCCCTCCACTACCTCATGTTCATGTGCCAATGATGGGTAAGCCCTGATAGATGCTTTTGGTCACCTAAGACAGGCACAGTACCACTCCATTTTGCAAAGAATAAGGGGGAGATGTCGGGGAACGGGACAGCCTGACCAGCTGTGCCCCTCCTGACAAGAAGTTTAGTGCTGGGCTTTTTCCACCCTGCCCGTAGCTAATTGCAAGATCCTGTTTTGACTTTAAGCATCCTGTTATTGCATGTTTCCCACACTTACTCCTGCTGAGTTGGTAACATGTTTTCCGTGAATCATATATAAACAGGTGGACGATGGGCAGGAGATATAAGAGGGTTGGAGGAGGCGAAGACGGCGGGCTGTCGCGACATGTAACGCGAGTCTGCTGAAAAATAAAGTGGAAGCTGAAAAGCCGATAAACGCGTCTGGTGTCTCCGAGGTCTCGCCGGCATTAACCTATCCGGAAGGTGTACGCCTGCATTGTCCAACAAAAACAAAGCTGGAGACGAGTACTCAAACAATATATTTCACTTTGTGTTTCTATGGGGTTGAAAACTTGAAATCTTTACTTAATGCATGACTAAACTGATCCTCTGTAAAAAAAAAAAAATAAAAAAAAAAAAAAGAAATTATCATTACCCAACTTGACTCTCACTGGGATTAAACATGACAATAGGTCTGATCTGATTTCATCATCATTTAAAAAAAATCATCTATTATTTTTCACTTTATGTTTCTGTGTGGGAGCAAACTGTTGAAATCCTTACTAATGTATACTAAGCTGATCTTCTGTATATTAAGATAATCGAAAATGAATCTTGATGTGAATGGAAGGGGAGAGGGAGTGGGAAAGGGGAGGGTTGTGGGTGGGAGGGACGGTATGGGGGGGAAGCCATTGTAATTCATAAGTTGTACTTTGGAAATTTATATTCATTAAATAAAAGTTTAAAAAAAGAAAAGAAAAAAGAAAAAAAAATAAAAAATAAAAAACAAAGCTGGAGGCATCACAATACCAGACTTCAGGACATACTACAGGGCAGTTGTAATCAAAACAGCATGGTACTGGTACAGAAACAGATGGATAGACCAATGGAACAGAATTGAAACACCAGAAATCAATCCAAACATCTACAGCCAACTCATATTTGATCAAGGATCCAAAACCAATCCCTGGAGTAAGGACAGCCTATTCAATAAATGGTGCTGGGAAAATTGGATTTCCACGTGCAGAATCATGAATCAAGACCCCTACCTTTCACCATACACAAAAGTTCAACCAACATATTAAAGATCTAAATCTATGACCCGACACCATCAAATTATTAGAGAGCATTGGAAAAGCCCTGCAAGATATAGGTACCGGCAAAGACTTCTTGGAAAATACCCCAGAAGCACAGGCAGTCAAAGCCAAAATTAACTATTGGGATTGCATCAAATTGAGAAGTTTCTGTACTGCAAAAGAAACAGTCAGGAAAGTGAAAAGACAACAAACAGAATGGGAAAAAAATATTTGCAAACTATGCAACAGATAAAGGGTTGATAACCAGAATCTACAAAGAAATCAAGAAACTCCATAACACCAAAACAAACAACCACTTAAGAGATGGGCCAAGGACCTCAATAGACATTTTTCAAAAGAGGAAATCCAAATGGCCAACAGACACATGAAAAAATGTTCAAGATCACTAGAAATCAGGGAAATGCAAATCAAAAGCACAATGAGGTTTCACCTCACCCCGGTTAGAATGGCTCACATGCAGAAATCTACCAACAACAGATGCTGGCGAGGATATGGGGAAAAAGGGACACTAACCCACTGTTGGTGGGAATGCAAACTGGTTAAGCCACTATGGAAGTCAGTCTGGAGATTCCTCAGAAACCTGAAGATAACCCTACCGTTCGACCCAGCCACCCCACTCCTTGGAATTTACCCAAAGGAAATGAAATTGGCAAACAAAAAAGCTGTCTGCACATTAATGTTTATTGCAGCTCAATTCACAATAGCTAAGACCTGGAACCAACCCAAATGCCCATCAACAGTAGACTGGATAAAGAAATTATGGGACATGTACTCTATAGAATACTATACAGCTGTCAAAAACATTGAAACCCGGTCATTTGCAGCAAGATGGAGTAATCTGGAAAACATCATGCTGAGTTAACTAAGCCAGTCCCAAAGGACAAATATCATAAGTTCTCCCTGATCGGCCACTACTGAGCACCAAAGGGGAAACTTGTTGAAGTGAAAAGGACACTATGAGAAACAGTGACTTGATCAGCTCTTGTCCTGATGGTTGATGTACAATGTAATACTTTATACCTTTTAGTAATTTTTTTGTTCTAGTACTATTGGTTGAACTCTGTAATTAACACACAATTATTATTAGGTGTTTAAATTTTAACTGAAAAGTGATCCCTATTAGGAATTGGAAAAATTATGCTGAGTGAAATAAGCAAGTCCAAAAGGGACAAATATCATATGTTCTCCCTGATCGGTGACAACTAACTGAGCACCAAAAAGAAAACCTGTTAAAGTGAAATGAACACTATGAGAAATGGTGGCTTGACCAGCCCTTGCCCTGACTATTGTTGAACAACTTAATATGTTATCCTTCTTAGTATTTTGTTTGTTTGTTCTACTTAATACTTTTGGTTGAATACTGTAATAAATACACAGTTATTCTTAAGTGTTGAAAGGTAACGGAAAAGCAATCACTGTTAAATATAAGAGTGGGAATAAGAGAGGGAAGAGATGTGCAATTTGGGACATGCTCAATCGGACTTGCCCCAAATGGTAGAGTTAGAAACATACCAGGGGATTCCAATTCAATCCCATCAAGGTGGCATGTACCAATGCCATCTCACTAGTCCAAGTGATCAGTTTCTATTCACAATTGATCATAATGAAAGGACTAAGAGCCAAAGGGAGCACATAAACAAGACTAGTGTCTGCAAATACTAGCTGTAGAATAAAAAAGGGAGAGAACGATCCAACATGGGAAGTGGGTTACACAGCAGACCCATAGAATGGCAGATGTCCTAAACAGCACTCTGGCCTCAGAATCAGCCCTTAAGTGCACGCGGATCTGGCTGAAAAGCCATGAGAGTATTTCAGGCATGGAAAGCCAAAACACTCTGGCAAAACAAAACAAAAAAAGAACTAAATGAAAGATCTCCGCGAGTGAGATCCCAGTGGAAAGAACAGGTCATCAAAGACGGAGTTACCTTTATCTGAAGGGAGGAGAGAACCTCCACTCTGACTCCAACCTTGCCTAAATATGATCAGAGGTCAGTGAACTCAAAAGGCTTCCATAGCCTTGGCAACTCATGACAAGATCCTTGGGTGATTACTGAGGTCATAAACAAGAGTGTCAATTTGTAAAGTCAACAACAGGAGTCACTTACTCCTCATGTAGGATCTCTGTCTTTAATGTGCTATACATTGTGATTTAATGCTATAACTAGTACTCAAATAGTATTTTTCACTTTATGTTTCTGTGTGGGAGCAAACTGTTGAAATCTTTACTTAATGTATTCTAAAGTGATCTTCTGTATGTAAAGAGAATTGAAAATGAATCTTGATGTGATGGAAGGGGAGAGGGAGCGTGAAAGGGGAGGGTTGCAGATGGGAGGGAAGTTATGGGGGGGAAGCCATTATAATCCATAAGCTGTACTTTGGAAATTTATATTCATTAAATAAAAGTTAAAGAAAAAGAATTTGTGCAAAACCCTAGAACTCAGTTGTTGTGGAACCTTCACTGTCAGGCAGCTACATACTCATACTGTGTTTCTCTTCATGTGTGTATGCAAATCTGTGTGAGTTTCTGCTGGACTGGAGTGAATATTCTACTGGTCTTCCTTCTGACTCCTTTCTGTCAAGCCTCCTATCCTTCCCTGGAGTTTGGAAGCTTTTCTTCCCTAGGGCTCTGCAGCTGAGGTCTTATGTCCAGGTGAAAAATACAAGATGGAGAACATTTTTATCCCTCCTTTCCATACCCAGGTGCCTTGATGTCATCAAAGTTTATGGTTAGCAAGAACCCAGAGAACTTCTGTTAGATTTGATCCAAAAACTTTGCCATTTGGGATGATGCAATTGGATTGCATCACAGTGTGCAATGGGTGAGAATCTGGAAGGGCCATTCTCAGTCAGGAGTTAGCCAAGAGCCTTCAAGCATCAGACTCCCCAAAGGACAAAAGAGGAAGGGGTAGCCCCACACACCCAGTATCCAGGGCAGCCATCGGACTTTTCCTTGTTTCCCACAAAGATCTCATAGCAATCCTGTGCACACAGACACCCACAGATACACGTTCCCCAAGTACTGTGGAACCAGTCATCACTTTCAATTCAGAGATTACTAATCAATACATGAACTTCAATGTATCTTGATGTACATGTATCTATGTGACACCTTTCCCCAATGTTCTAATATCCACACTAATTCCATGAAGATTTACACCTACAACCATGGGT